ACATTTATGCCTGGCTCTCCTGGACTGCATCCTCCTATTTATGCTTCCTTTGTGGCTGGGATGGTAGCATGCACCATATGCCTAGTTTTTATTGGTTGAGATGGGATCTTACTAGCTTTTTACATGGTCTGGTCTCAAACTGTGATCCTTCTGATTTGTGCCTCCTGAGTAGTTAAGCCACTGTGCCTGACCACCTGGTATATTTTTGACCTGGGTCACTGTTCTCTTATGAAACGCTCTGCCCACCAATTTTGGGGTTTTTTTTCTTTTTGGACTAGCTTGTCTGGTTTCCTTTGGGATCATTGTGTTCATCATAAAATTATGATTTATCTTTGCTTTTATGATAATGAGATTCAGAAGTATAGTTTAACAGTGCTTAATTTTAAATGATAGAGAAAAATATTATGAAGTTCATGTTATAGATTACTTCAAGAAATTCACTTTGATGGGCAGCACAAGTTGGTTAGGAGTAAGAATAGAAATGAACCCCACTGCCAGTAATTATGGAAAAGTAAAGGGAGATAGACATACATGGACTCATACTGAAGGTCATAATGGTCTGAGCTTCCCCAAATTCAGACTAGGGCCAATCTGGTTCTTCTCCAGGTATCCATTCTTGGACCTCTTCTCTTCTTTTTATTACCCTCCCTTTTCCCTGAGCTCCTAAAAACATGCACTCCCATGATTTCAAGCAAATCCGAAACTATCATATCAGAAATTCATGGGCTGGATATGCTTCTCAGCATAACCAGAGAGCAGTCAGTATCCAATCCTGTAATTCTCTATTAGAGTTGTGCTGTCCAACATGGAAGGCTCTAGCCGAGCACTTGAAATGTGGTCAGCTGAATTAAGATGTGCTATAAGGATAAAATAAACCTTCCAATTTGAAGGCATAGTATGAAAAAAAGAACATCAATATTTTCATTATTTGTAAAAATAATACATAATATTTTATTTTAATTACATTAATAATTTCATGCTAATTACATATGAAAATATAATTTGAATATATTGGGTTAAATGAAACATCATTAAAATTAATTTATCTGTTTCTATAATTTTGAGAGGTTTTCTTTTATTTGTTTTTTGTTACACAGTGCTGGGTATCAAACCCAGGGCTTTGCATATGGCAGACATGCACTCTACCACTGAGCTATATCTCCAACCCTGTTTCTTTAATTTTTACAGTAGCCATGAGAAAGTTGAAGATTACATATGTGTCTCATATTACCTTTTTTTTTCCAGTAGTGGTACTTTATAGTGGGTCTACTTTTTTCTATCCCCACCATATTTCAAGGAACTAGAGTTAGTTTCCTAAAAGTTGGATTTGCATTGTGGCAGAATAATGGGAGTTTGAACCAAGTTCTATAATTTACTAGTTGTATAACCTTGGGCAATAATAGCTCTAAGTCTCAGTTTTAGCATCTTCTAAATAGGGATTAAAAATAGAGGGAGATGTTTTTTTATGAAATAGTTGAGACATTGTTTGTAGAGCTCCAAGTTCGGTACCTATCACTTGGTAAATAGTTCATGAAGCCCTCCACTTTCCTAGACCTTCCTTGGCCATGTGCCAGTATAGTTCCAGCCACTGGACTAACAGCTCATCTTATGTCTCATTATTTCTGCATAATATCCGTCCTATCACACACCCACCTTTCTTCTTTGGTTGAATAACTCATATTTCTCACGCAGGATTAGTTCTGGGGCTACCTCCTTGGATGCTTTCTCTCACTTTATCCAGTCTGAGAGAAGTACCACCACAACCAGTATATATTCCTGTTACAAAGAGTGGAGAACAATGGAAAAGGTCATAGGCACTGGGGTTGGCAAGCCCTGGATCCAAATGGCAACACTTCAACTTCACAGCTGTGTGACCTTGAGCAAATGCTTCTCCTTTTTGAAGCTTAATTTTTCTTATTAAATAAAGGCAAAAATAATCTCTGTCCTTTGAGAGTGAGGCTGAAAGGTTTAAATAGACTTTAGGGCATTAGACACATAGTAGAATGCAATAAATAACTACCAGCATATAAACCAGCCTCTGTTGTTACTGCTTGTTTACTTCTTTGCCTTTCTACTTGGAATGTGAATTGCTGGGAGAAAATGACAGTATTACATTGTTCTTGGTACCACTAAAGCTTAGCACAGTGTCTGTAAGTCTTCAATATAAATCTATAAAATATAAAAATTAATTAATAAATGATGAATGAATAAATAACACTCTGGCAGGTAAGAAAGGGTTAGAGCTGACCACCTAGAAGGATGAGCATTCAGGGTAAATTAAAATAAATTATGCTGACAAACCTAGTCAGACTGTGAGAAACTCAAGCAAAGGACATTTAAAAGATTTTGGTAGAAAGATGACAGATTTGTCCCATCAGTCATTACTACAGCCATTATTCCTCCAATGAGGATGCTACCCAGTGAGTAGTATTTGGTACTTATAAGTCTTTGTTTCTTCAACAAGGTACTTTAAAATTTTATTTAAAAAATTTATTTAAAATTTTATTTTAAAGTTCTGGAGATATAAAGCACACAAAAAAGAGAACAGTCTAGAGGTATATTGAACCAAAATGGGGAGAGAAGAGCTGTATCTGTTTGCTTTCTCTTGAGTTTATCTTTTAACCCCTGCTATTCTACAAAGTAGCAGTGACTACACATCACACATCTATTGTTTATTCACTGTTTTTCTAATTCTAGGCTGTAGGCCATCTGCATCAGTAACAACTTTAAACAAAATACATATATCCAGGTGCCATCTAAATCCTAGTTATTCAAAACTATGGGAGGAGGAAGCCTACATAGAAACTATTTTTCTGATATATGGCTGATTTTGCACTGCTGATGAATATGGATAGATAGAATGATTGCTACAGAAGTTCAAGCAGCAGGCCTCAGATTTCATATCAACAATGGTGCTTGTAGCTAAGTTTCCCTGGAGGCTGGTGGCAGGTATCAGTACAAGGTTTGAACTTTCTTTTAGTTTTCTCTCTGTCAAAGTTGATGTTTCTCTCAAGCCATTTCACAATGACATGAAGACCAAATAATCTTCATCTAGCACTAAAGTAAGAAGCCCATCTCCTTATTATAAGTCTTCTGCTGCTTCTTTATATTTATATCACAATCACAATCAGTTTAAAGAAGTAGAAAAACAGAAAAAGAAGTTAATATAACATTTTCTGTGAGAGGAGGAGAAGGAAGGAATCAAATATACCAGTTCTGGAGCAGATTAACATGGGGTAAATCCATGATTGTCATCGCCACCATCATCATCATAGTTACTACATCATGCTCACTGTGGGCCAGGTGCCATTCTAAGTTCTTTAGACTTCAAACCTTAATAGTAGTTCTGTTTATGAGGTTGTCTGACACTCATTTGTTTGTTCAGCAAGTATTTATGGAATACAGCATACCATATGTGAACATGCCATAAATGAAGAATGAGGGACAGGTTTGTTTGCCCTTGAAACCCACTGCTATGTCTCCTCTAATGTCAAAGGCATCTTACTAGAGTTTTGCTTCACAGTAATCAAGAGAAGATTTTAATCCTCCTAATAAGACTTATGATGCTATGAGTTACATTTTAAATTCCTTACCAGAAATTCCTCCTCTTCTAAAAAAATTAAAGGCACGACAGTGTTGGTCATCTTGAAAAAATTAGAATAATACCCATCACTTACTCTCTTCCATTAAGCATACAGGAAATACTTATATTTTCTTGTCAAGTTTGTGCTTACTGTGCTTCTGCCCCTGGGTTGGATGGTCTACATTATCTCTCCTCACACTTTTGTCTCCTACTGGGATGGAAGTCCCTCCTCCCTCCCTCTCTGAAATTAGCAAACAGCAGAAAGGGATAATACAGACATCTCCCAAGCAAAGGGCATAGTGCCCTTTCCACAGAGTTTGGCACCTGAAATGTGAAGGTCTTTGAAAATGATCTTTCTTCATGATATATGGCTCATGTGGTTTGAGAATCAGACAGGGGAAACACAGATCTTTCTACATGCTAGGTATGTAATGATTGCAGATTGAAATGTTACAATGAAAAGCATATTAAATGTCACCAAAAATATACAAAGTCAATTCCAGAGTTTCAGTTTCTACTAGATAGAAATGAATAAATTTATTTTGACATCCTGTCCTAAGTTTTTCTTAACTCTATCATTTTATAATAATAAAGCAGTTAATTAAATTATTTGCAAGATTAACATAATAACTCAATACCAAAATTTGCTCAAATTAGAATTCATATATTTTCAGTAATATGTGGATTAATTGTAATATCTGATCTGTTATTTTTAGCATAATGGAATGTACACATGCAAATTTATTTAAGGGAAGTTATTTTATCTATTTTTTGATTTGGAGCTCTGTTTCATAAGCATCCACAATATTTCTGCTTTAAAATTGCCAAATGATTACCTTTTAATCAACTATTAAGGACAATTATTTTAAACATTTACACTGACCATAATGTAAAAGAAAAATGTTTCAAATTTGTGAAACATCTTTTGAATTTAGAGATACAGATTTTTTTAGTTCATTAGATAGTGAATATTATGTTGCTTATTTTTAATACTTGCAAGCATTCTTATATTATAATATATAATATATATATTATATATAATTATTGATAATACTATCTTCCATTATTAAGTGCCTACCATAAGAGTGGTTCTGTGTTTTATATATACTGTCTCTAATGCTCACAATAACTTAGGTTGTTATTGTTACCAGCATTTTACAGATAAGGAATGTGAAATTTTGGGGAGATGTAAGTAAACTTCCCAGTAGTTCAGATAACTGGAAGAACTGGGACTTGCATTCAGATTTTTCTGGTTTCAGGTCTTCTGAACCTAGTCATAATACCAAAATACCATTATCATCTGTGGACCAGTGATTGAACTGAATAGCAATAACTGTTTCATCTTTCCTTACCTGAGCAATAAGCCACCTTTTGCTACTTAGTTCTCAGACTGGGAATGCATTCTGTGCTCCTGCAGGGTTGAATGTAACAACTGTGAGACTGGAGAACAGTGTGGTACAATTATGCACGGCAATGCTGTCACCTTCTGTGAGCCATATGGTCCCCGAGAATTGGTAAGTGTATGCTATTTATGTACATTATTCCATTATAATACTTACTGAGCATTTTGCCAACGAAAGGCTCTCTTGTGCTCCTATAGTTTGGATGGAAATTTGAACCATTATTTACAGTATGAGTTCTATTGCATTTATCTCAAAATTGGGTGGGGTGATTTTATGGCCTGTTTTCAAATGTAAAAGTAAAGAATTCAGTAATAAAATTGGCAGTATTAATGAGTCTGATTAAGCATAGTACATCCATTAAATTAAATGTCTTTTTAAAATATAGATACGATGTATATTATATATTTATATAATGTATATCCTGTCTAAACAATTTATGAGTTTCTAATATTTTAATAGAACCTCAGTCTTAAAATTGTCCATGTTTTCTCTTTTTAAGTAAAACTACTAGATGTTCAATTTTCTTACATTGCTTTTAAACTGGTTCCTAACCATAGAGGCTCTTTGTTGCATTTTTTTAAAGTGAAGAATATACTCAATAAACCAGCTTTTAAGAAATTTTGGTTTATGCCAAGTTACTCAAAAGCAGATTATTTTTTTTTGACTGATTAGCCATTTCCTGCCAAAGATAAATTTCTGAATCATATTTAAAATGAAACATGAGCATTGTAAATTAAAAGCAACGAAACCACTATCCATGGGCATGTGGTTAATGAGCTTTTTGTTTTTACTTGATACTTATTTCTGACATGAAGACAACATTCATTTCACATTCCTAAAAGGATAGAAAAGCAATTGTTATGCTGTATACTGGCTCAATTACTTTGCCCCTAATTCTCTTTTTGTAACATCTTGGCTTTTCACTTTTCAATTTGAGTTTAAATAGTTGCTCTCTTTTTTATTTTCCCTCCCACATCTTTTTCATGGGGCTTTTAGTAACAGGTTGTATTTTTTACCTCTATGTTAGACACTGTTTCTAAATCATTAACTTTAAAAGTTTCCCAAAGACTGCCTTTCATAATAAAGAGGGGGGAAACCCTAGATAAGCAATTAAAAGAAGATTTAGTTATCAAAATGTAAAAAACAATTAATTTTTGTAACATGGTTCTTATTTTATGCTGCTTGAATACCCCTTTCATGGTCATAGATACATTCAATTTATTAAAGATATGAGCTATAGAACAGTGATGAATTGAAGAGTTTTCAGTTGAAATTAGAACACAAACAGAATTAATTGGATGCAAATTAAAATAATAGGTGCTCATAATTCAAGTCTCACAAGGTGTTATAATATTCCTGCAGACAAATGTGTAATTCTCCCTGAAAAAAATAGATTTGCTAGTATATTTTAAGTAATGTACCATGACTGAATTAATTATCTATGCACCTTAAAATAAAATTAATTTTATCATAGCTAACTGAGCTTAGAATAATTGCCTATTTTAGAAGATGCTCCCATTCTGGAAATCTTGGCAAATTATTTTTGTTTCAACTGGCTAGCAGGAAATAAAAGTATCTAATAATATAATGCAATAATTCATATTTCCATAGCATAAACTGAAATGTCTACCTTTTTTGATCACATGTGTATTTAGTCCTGATTGTTTTACCATATAGCAGGGGAGTTGATACCCCAGTAGGCTAGTTTTGAGTTGTGTTATGTAATTAATGTGAGATTAGCCTTCAATTAAAAAGGAAAATATTCAAAGTAATTATCTTCATCTGAGAAACAAACAAACAAAAACCACAGAGATTTGGTAGAAAAATAAGTTTCCCATAAGACATCCCTAATTGCTGTATTATTTATCAAAAGCCCTTTGTTTTTAGAATGTAAGGCTTAATAACTTTTCAGAGTAAAATTACATATTTAAATTCATGATTAATAAATGCTTTATAATACCCACTTGTAAATATAGATGAGTAGATTTTATAGGCAGTGCTTCTTGTTATGCTTTTCTTTTTCTTTCCTTTATTCTCTCTGTAGCTGACAATCTTACTAATATGAGTAGTAAAGGTAAAAAATGACAATCAATTGTATATTTCCTCAGCTTCCTTTGTGAAGGAAAAAAATGTAGAATCAATGACTAATCAAAGCCTAGGGTCACCCTCAGTTAGCCCATGTAATTTGAATCTTGGCAGTATTTCATGCAACTTGCTGTTCAATAGCAGAGGTCGTGACTATAGGACCTGATCACACAAGTGACACAGCATCATTTATTACACCATAAGGATAAAATGTTGAAGAGTCAAGTATATTTAGTGCACCTAGCAGTAGCAATAACCATGGTGCTTTAAATTTATGTAATACCATTATTTCAAAGACCCTATATTCAGAAGTTTTCATAGTTCATCTGGGAATCTCTTCGGCTATATAAAATCATTCAATTTATGTGAAATTAAAAGAAAACTTCTCTATTGGTATTGTGCCCCATTGGATTTTAAGATCAAATTATCCAAGTGGAAACCCATGAGGACAGGTAGATGAACTTACTCTAAAAGCTCTAAAAAAATAGATTTATTTTAAAGGAATTTTATTGTACAATTTTCTTTGATAATTCAGGTGGGAGAAAGAGGAAAGGAAACAGAGGTATGGACATGGTGGGCTGATTCAAATTAAATGCAGAGAATTTCCTCTGTAACCATGACACCAGTGACGTTTGCTATGTTTAAAAGAAACTAGGGGCTAGTCCTGATATCTTTAGCTATATAACTTGTAAAATGTATCTCTTGTCCTCCCTTCCATTACTGTTCTTCCTTCTTTGTTGAATTTTAAAGCCATATATTTATAGCACATGCCCAGTTACCCAGGAAGATCTTGTGATTCTCATATCTCACCTGAGTTCTGGAAGAGCAAGAGGCTTGCTCGCTGGTTTCCCATGGCCCTTTTGTAGTTGTGGCCTCTGTCACTTGGGGGCTAACCCAGTGCAAGCATATGTCTAAAGATATTAAGCCATAAAAGAAGCAAAACTAAGACAGACCACTGTTTCTGCCAGTGAAGATACATTCAGGTGCTTGCTGTTTTAGAGAGAGTCTCTTGAAGCTTCCCCATGCTTTTGCATACAGAGTATGGGAACCCAACAAAATAAGAACTTTAATTTTCATCTCATTTGAGGTGAATCTCTGTTCCAAAGAATAAATAATTAATAATTTTAATTATATATGTATTATTCCTCTTCCAAAAGGGGGGGAAATTGGTTAAGCAGGCCTCTTCCCAAAACTAAGAAATTTAGCAGAAATGTATTGGAAGCCTATTGTTAGGTCCATAATCCATATCCATTCTCTCAATTTCTCTGTCTCACTCTGTCCCCCCCACCAGTTAAAAAATATCCACAGGTTCTGTGAATCACTAATTTGAAGTATAAAATTTAAATTAGTTTATTTACAAAACTATGCAACCATTATCATAATCAACTTTAGAACATCTTAATTGCCCCCTTAGAAAATCTTGCATACTTCAGCTGCTTTAGTTCTATTTTTAAAATAATCTTTTTGTCTACTCATTTGCTCTTAATTTACCTCCTAATATTTGTTTGGTAGTCTTTTTATGACTTTCCATTTGGGTCCATTCCTATAGTAGGATAGAGGGACAGGGGAGGTAAGTGAAAAGGACTTTGTTAAATGCCCTCATGAATAATCTGGGAGATTATTATTCATATCTAAATCAGGATCTCAACACAGTTTGTTCCCCAACAGGGGAACAGGAAATATATTTGTGTTCAGACATATTGATAAAAATGAATGAAATAGATAAGTACAACCTCTGCTGATGAATCTGTTCTTTCCTCTCTTTCACTCCCAATACCTTCCATTTTGCTTTCTATCTTGTTTTACTTTTGTATATTTCTTTTTCTAGACTACCACTGGCCTAAATACAACAACAGCTTCTGTCCTCCAGTTTTCCATTGGTAAGTGTTTTTAGCAATTATAGTAATTTACCTTGGATGTGTTTGTTTTAGTCCAATCAGGATTATAGTGTTTTTAGACTTACAGATATTTAAGTCTTAATTTTGCAGCAAATAGTGAAAGTAAATATTTTAAATGTTCTCATTCTTCTCCAACAGCAAGTGGTATTAAAATGCTGTTGATAATTTAAACATTTTTAAATGATTTGCATATGGCTTTATAATGCATTGGGTTAGTCTGTTATAGCAGAATTACGTTACTAGTTATGTTTTGCTCAGATTAAGATTGAAATATGTTCAATTTCCTGAACTCTGACTAAATGGTAGTGAAAGGGATTATTATTAGTGGCTGAAAGAAACCACTTAAGGTTTCATTTTTGACATGAATAATCTGTGTTCCATTTTGACATAATTAATGAGAAAATAACTCTGGCAATATTTCTTTTAAGCATTTTCATGTGAGAGCACAAAATCCCTACCCAAGGCATTCAGTAGAATAATATGACTTTTGATCAAGTGTTTGCAGTTTTCCTGTCCATTCTATTCCTTGCTATTTTAATTTTCAAAGGGGTGTATGTGTATATTACAATTAACTCACACCAGTTTCCAAAGGGAATATCCTAAGGGAAAATAGACAATGTCTTCTAGATAGAGCCTTGCTTTACTAATCTCTCCTTGTAGTATGAGATTTGCTAGCAAGTGACTTCCATGCCCTGGACAGCATCCCTTAGCCTCTACCATATCTACTTTGTATCTTTGAAGAGGCACTATTAGCGAAAGGCTCTTTTCCTCAGTAGCCTTTTATTCTAATTGATAAGGCCGTGTTCTACAGTGAGGAACCCATTATGGTTGATTATGTCAAAGGGCAATGTTTTTCTAGCCATATAGTTGTCACTGCTTCAGCAGTATGCCTTGCGTCGGCCTGTCTAAGAGTTGGATGAAACTGCCAGATTTCATGTTTGTAATGCAACTAATAGTTTGCTACTATACTGTCTTTTCTGCCTACATTGTATTTTTTTCTTCTCACATTGATAGTATCACCTATGACAATTTACAGACAACTCAGAAGTCCAATGTGGTCGTGAAAAAGTTAGCAAAAGCAAACGTTGTGAGCTTTTTATTGACACTATTTTACATTTTTATTAGCATATATTAATTTATAAAAATTGAGAGTTTTTAAAATGAGCTTTCTTTGACCTACCAGCAAGCATATCCTAGCTCTTCTATAATAAGCATTCAATACTGTTATAGTAAGAATAGATAAAGACCATTTTTTAAAGTTGATTGTGAAAAAAATCTATTTTTAAAGCTGTAGCATGAGAGTCAACTTCATGGTTCTTAGCCAGAACAAATGTGTTCATATTCACTATGTTGTTCATAGATACAAATAACCTGAGTTGGGCTGGAGGCATGGCTCAAGTGGTAGACTGCTTGCCTAGCAAGTGTGAAACCCTGAGTTCAAACCCCAGTACCACCAAAAAAAGAAAATCATAAAAATAACCTGAATAATGATTACCAATTTATCTGGATTTATTCTTATTTTTGTTAGCCAATAAATGTTAATTTCACATATTATGTTAAGTTATAAAAGAACAAAAGAGAATACATTTTAAACTGTATCTCGCAACTTCAATAGTATTTGCATTTTATCTAAGGAAGGATGAACCAGCATCGATTAAATTATCCTTTACTTTTTGGGGGGAGGGCAGTAGAAAGGTTTATTTTTGTAAATAGTGAAGAACATATTGCTAAAATATTTCCTTACCTTTCAGTTGCACCAATTACAATATCAATTATAGCAGATCTAATGAAAAAGGACCAAGAAAGGGTTATTTAGAGAATGCAAGAATTAGACTCAAAAGCCAGATTGAGTACCAGGCCAAGCTCTTGGGACTAGACCTGAACATTTAACTTAACAAGAACCCTTGATTTTTCCCATCAGCATGGATTTGAATCCTGGGTTACAGGAAGGTTAGAGTAACAGAACTGAGGAATTAGAAAATCTAACTTTATAGATTAGAGAGAGAGAGACAGAGACAGAGAGAGAGAGATAATAGAGAGGCGTAGGGAGAGGAAGAGAGAGAAAGAGAACACAAGTTTATAATCTAAAAACTAAAAAATACATTTATACCTTTAGAAGTCTTTCTGGGTGACAGTTTTTAATTAAAAAGTGAAATCTTTACATATCACTGGGAATGAAACAGGAAATATTTAGTAAAAGAGATTATAATGTATTACATAGGAACTTCACTTGAAAATTTGCTGCATTTTGAGATTAACAATTCTTAGGAGTCAAGAAGGATTGTGGTGGCAGAAAAAAACAATGTCATAGCAAACTATTAGTTGCATTTTGTCTAATGTTGTATGGTGAATGCATGCAGTACAGAGGGCAGAACTTTCCAGAAATGGTTTTGTTGTGTCTTGTTATTCATTTATATAGATGTTTATGAGCTATGAGGCAGTGGCATCATTCTGTTCATGTGGATGGTTATGAGGGCTGGGCCGGAGCCTGCACACAGATTCTATAGATGTCATAAATGTGTATAGTCATACTAAGCTTTATAAGCCCATAATAACCAAATGCCAAATGGGCAACTGCAGTTTAGTAGCCATTTCACTTATACTGGATACAAAAATTATATTTAGTGGATTATAAAAATTATATGTTGGCAGTCCAACACTTACATTTCTTTGTTCTTGTTCCAAATCTATACTAGTAATGTGATTAAATTAGTGTCATTTCTTGGGAAGTGCTTTAGGATGTTAAATGTTCATTGTATAGCACGATCATCCAGATGTTACACAGATAATTTTCTAGGGGATTCCACCATTATTCATAACCTCAGTGATGACTTACATTCACAATTAGGTGTGTATAACCACAATTGGAGAAGTAGCAATATATTGCTCGTATAAACATTTTCAATTATGTGACAAATATCCAAAAGAGTCAGTTCCAAGTATGCATAAAGTGCTTGAATTACTGAGGAATTGTTTATCAGCAATGCCTTTCTAATTCTTTAAAATATATGTATATGCATGCATACATATGTATATATATATACATATATATATACATACACATACACGTGTAGTATGTATACATATTGCATATGTCTGTATATCAGATGTATTTATACACTATACATGTGTACATATAACACATACATACATTTATGTACACACACATAAATAAATAAATAAATACAGACTTTCTTAACTAAATGATTTTTAAAATTAAAGCATTCTGAAAACCCAGTTTTGAAAGTTGAAATTTATCAAGTTATCAATAACTAAATCATCTTGAAAAGTGTCTTAAAATATTCTTAGAAGAACTTTTCATTTTTCCATTCCTATGAAAGATTTTATATCCATTTCTATGCTGAGGCATCGATTTGCTACAATCCTCACTTGATTCATTAGATTCAACTTGTGGAATTTATGGTTGTAGCCTTAGGGGCATTTACCCATTTCCTTTAGATTTCCTTTGGGATAGGAAGAAAAATTTGAGCTGATGCCCTTGCAAACCATTATCTTACTGATGCCTCCAAACTCTGCTCTCCCAGGCAGGGTTCTGCATCCATAGGAAATGTTGGTATTGCTTTGTATCTATCATGTATTTAACATAATTTTACTGAATATTTGCTTAGCATTATCTTGAGGTAATTTTAAGTATGGTAAGATAAAAAACTAAGAAAACAATATTCTTATAGCACTTAACAGTATAGTAAGTAGAAGGCACTGGATACATACGGAGCACAAAACTCTAGACAAAGCCAGATTGTTATAAACAGTGGTGGGCATGTATACAGATCTTGGGGTGCCACGACCCAATTAAGGCCTGCAAGGTAGTACAACTTAGAGAGGGCTTCTTAATGAGGAATACTCCTGAAAGCTAACAACCCAATTCCCTTGAAAGGACCGGGAAAGGCTTTCCTTTCTCTAAGAAGATGGAGTGAAACAAGCAAGACACTGAAAAGGAACAGGAGTGCCCTCCTAAACCAGAGAGACCAGATATCAGCAATGTCAGATAAAATTGGGTCCATCTAAAGACCTAGTCTGTATCAGCCAGGGATTTTAACTTATTTAATAAGGAGCTAAGTGAGGGTTTAACTCATTTAATTTATCTAAAATAACATAATTTTGTTATTTATTTAACTTATTTGATAAAGGTCTGCAAAATAGCCTTTTTCTTTCTTGGCAGTAAGGAAAACAATGAAATGAAATTTTAAGAAAAGTATTTACACAGTTGAGTTGAGTGGAGTAATCACTTCCTTGATATAAACCCACATTGAGTCACTCTACAAGAATTTACCAAATAATATGCTTGTTCACGTCTGCCCAGCTCTTTCTTCAGATTAATAGGGTTCATTTGCCAAATGAAGATTAAAGGTAAAACATTTGAAAACAGACACCATGAAGAACAAATAGTGTGACTTGGGTGACAAATCTATCCCTAACCTAGGGACTCACAATCAGTAAATGATCATAAATATTTCTTGTCAGAGTGACAAGTAACCATTACTGGTGACATCATAACATATGCAACCAAGTGCTAAATTGGTGTCATGCAGGCATTTCATAACAAAAGTGAGCTTGGGGGAGGTGATCTGAGGACCTCAACCCATGGAAAAGATGACCCTGAAGGAAACTAAAGTATACTTTTAGTGAAGCAAATAGACAGCAATGTATACCCATGTATTCATCAGTACGGAACTACTGAGCTAACTAAGATCTATGATTTGTTCATAATTTATAGAATCAGTATCTTTTTCTATGGCTTTATTTACAGACATACTAAAGATTTATGGGTTTGTTTTTCTTTTTTTGTATGTTGAGAAGGTTTTGTGCCTGTGTATTGGTTTTTACTGCTTTTTCATTTGCTTTTTGTCATTTTAAAGCAGGGGTAAGTAATTCAAACATAAATGCTTTGTATTTAGATATTAAGATATGAAAGTATTCTTAGGCCTGCATTGTTCCTTTCTATACTGTCTGTACCACAG